CCCCGCCACTCCCCGCCCCATCCCGGCGGGGGAGCCCCGGTACCTTGCGGACCCCCTTGTAGATGTAGAAGTAGAGCTCCCGGCCCACATTGAAGCAGAGCCGGTCCCCGTTGCCGCTCTGGTCGTTGACGTTGACGAAGGAGACGCGGACGGGGTTGGAGCCCTGCGAGTTGAAGGGCACGCGGTTAGGCCGGCTGTACTCCGAGTGGCTCAGCAGCTTGTACAGCCCCTCCCGGGTGGTGAACTGGGTCTTAATCTCGTTCATCTCCTTCCCACCTCCCTCCGCCGCCATCTTGGAAAGGAGCGCTCATCCTGCCCCAGTGCCCGGATGTGCCGACACTGCGCAGCCGCCGGCGCGCGCGCGGCCCCTGCGCGCGGGGGCGACACGAGGAGGCGGGGCCGGCGGGGCCTGTTTACCGCGCGACTGCGCGCGCGCCGGGCTCGCGCGCCCGGGGGGCGTAGAAAGGGGCGGGGCTTGGAGCGGGGGCGTGGCCTGGGCGGGAGGCGCGGCGGGCCCGAGGGTGTCAGGCCGGGGGGACCGCGGCGACACCGGGCGCGACAGCGGGCCCGGCAGGGCCATCCCGCAGGGCAGGACTGCGGCCGGAGCGCTCCTGGATGTCTGCAGTGAGCGGGACTCCATACCCTCTCTGGGCAAGAGAGTGGTGTTCCAGAGTGTGGTCGCTGCGCAGTAAAGTTCTTCCTCATGTTCGTGTGGAACTTCTGTGCATCAGTCCCTGCCGTGGCACCACCGAGAAGGGCCTGGCTCCATCCTCTGACACCCCTCCTTTAGATATTTATACACATTGGTGAGGTCTCCTCTCAGTCAGCTTTTCTCAAGGCGGGACAGACCCAGCTCCGTCAGCCTTTCCTCCTGAGAGAGATGCTCCATTCCTTTAACCATTGCTGTAGCTCTCCACTGCACCCAGCCCAGGAGCTCCACGTCTCCCTTGTGCTGCGGAGCCCAGAACTGGACACAGCACTGCAGATGTGGCCTCAGCAGGGTCACCCTGCATGATGGCTCCACGGGGCAGCTGCTCTGGGGGTGGGAGAGAGGAGGAGGTCAAGAGCTTTGTGTGCCCCAGGGACCTGCCACCTAAGGATGTGAGTGAGCATACGGGGCAGCTGCTCTGGGGGTGGGAGAGAGGAGGAGGTCAAGAACTTTATGTGCCCACAGGGACCTGCCACCTAAGGATGAGTGAGCACCAGTGCCAGCACAGTGTGGGGTGAGGTGATCCCCACTGCTGAAGTGCCACATCAGTCAGGAGGTGTCCATGTGCAGCGCTGGTTTTGGGGCAATGGCTCCCAGGGGAGAGCCCCCCTCACATCACAGTGAGGCACCACAGCCCTGGCCATCTCCACTGGCTCGCTTGCCACGGCCCTGGCCAGCTTTGCCCACGGGGTACTTGCCAGTGCCTGGAAGCCTGGTGAGGTTCCTGCTGTGAGAGTCTGTCAGTTTAGGGCCAGGAAATCCAGGAGTGCAGCTGAACTTTGACACTTCATGCCCAGCTCAGGTGCCCCTGACGGAGATGGTGCCTCCATCCCTCCAGCCTCCAACCTGCTGCAGGCAGGCCAGGCCTGGGAGTTGGCCTGAGGTGTGAACCTGAAAAACTGGTTATCAAATCACTCACCTCTTTGTTCTGATCATCCTGCAGCCATACAGCCAGCTGTGTTGCATGGTGAACCAGATCAATATCAGATGGAGGTGGCACAGGCCTGGGAAAGATTGCATTCACTGGGCAGGGAGGCAGGACTGTTTCTTCTGACAACAGTTTCAGCTTTAAGAGTTTGTCTGACTACAGCCTCATGACTGACTCAAACTGATGTAAGACTGATCTCCAGCTAGAAAAAAAAGGTTTTGGCCCCTCCTCTACAGGTATTTCCATTACCTCTCTTGCATTAGTTCCAGTAATCATGCAACCAAAGGGTGAGTCAGATCCACCTGAAAATTAACACACACACACACAGAAATTATGAGTTCTCAGGTAAGCAAAGTGTTGATCAGCAACCAGGTTGATTCAACTCACCACAGAACTGCTGGAGCCAAAATAAGGAAGGAGTTGGGAATGTGTGACATGGGGAAGATAAACAGCACAGAATTAGAACATATTGAACGTTAGAACATACTGTTATGTTAATAATAAAAAAATCACACTTTCAGGGTATAGTTTCCTGCTGTCGCTTTGTGGCTCTAATGTGACTGCTACCAAAGGTATTGTCCTGCTCTCTTCTTTCTGGACTATGACTATCTGCTGCTACTCCTTCCTGTACCAGCCACAGTGCTCTCCTGACCTCATGAGGAGCCTCATTTCTGAAAGGTAAATGGACAGACAATTAAACTCCTTGCAAATGTGAAAGGAATATGGTTAAACAAAAAACACTAACTGCTTAAGGGAATGGACAGCAGGACCTTCCTGCTTTCCATTACATCAGCACAGCTGAACAAGTCCACTCAGTCTTCCAGACTGCAGGGGGTTAAAGGGATTTAGTTTCAAGTCAATTTAGTTCAAAGAGATTTTGTTTGTAGCTGAATACTGTCTTGCTGCTGACCATCAAAATATTAGTAAAAGATAGCTGAGAGACACAAAACAGCCAAGGATCTCCAGAACAGAGTATGTATCTGAGTGAATATCTGAACAAGTACAGATGATTAGACTTTTAAAAGGCCAGGTATTGAAGACTTGCTTGAAATTCTTAAGATAAAGCAAATCAATAATGACCAATAGGTCTGTCAGCTTATCAGCCAGTCCTGCCAGATGGTATTGATGACCTCCTAAAAGGACATAAAGTAGGTAAGCAGCCTTGCATTTTTTTAAATCATGTTAAGAGTGATTGTATCATAAAGAAATTTCCTTAATGGACTTACAGAGAGAAAGAGTATTTTCTTTCACCAAGGAATCACCAAAGAAGAGCAGGAACAGCAAGGATCTCTAAATAGTAAGATTCAAAACAGATAAGGATATAACAACAACAACAAAATTTTAAAAAAAAGTGTTGCTCCAAGCAGGCATACTCAGTATGTCTGATTCATTACCCACTGACAAGAAAGGATAGATCACTCTGAAGAAGAAAGCAGGCAACTTTGGTAGAGGGACTGTGTGGAATGCAAATCGCACTGAAACCACAGCAGGCCATCTGTCACTGATGGAATGAGTGTGATCCAAAGAATAAACAAAGTTAACAAGTACCTGGTTATCAGCCGTACATGATGGTGCAGAAAGTCAAAGAATTGATGTAGTGTTTGACATTTACAAGAAACATCAATAAAAGCTGCTGAGAGATTCCACGGAGAATCCAAGACAAATATTCATTTGAAAAACACAGCTGCAAGTCACAAGAACACTATTGTACAACCCCATCAACAATGCTCATCAAATACTAGGAGAAAAAGAGATTACAGAGATAAGTCTTATGAAAAAAATTCCCTGTACCACTTGAAAATTCTTCTGTTTCAAGCTAACCAAGGATGATAGTTCTGAAATTATCCCATGAGGACACCCCAAATGAGTTGCTTTGTAGGCACCACACAACCAATAAACTGAAGACAGTCATAATCACTGCTGTATTGTGCCTTTACCTTTTGTAAATTGTTTTGGCAAATTGGAAAACAGACATGAGCAAAATTCACTAAGAGTAATAAAATAGTGTGGTCCTTTGAGATTGCTTTATGCAGGGCATAAATTGGTCCTGCAAGTTTTCAGAATGTAATATTAATAGTGTTTTTACTGGACATGAAGAAGAACCTGCAATACAAGTACAGTTATGAACAAAACTTTTCTATGCTTGAATTTGAATGCTGTCTGTTACTTCCCCAAAAGTGCAACAACTGGTATTAGCTTTTACCAGCTTTCCTGAGACAAAAAAAAAAAAAAAAAGGAAAAAAAGAGGAGGTTGATTACACCCATACTGCATCAGGCAAACTGTCTATTCCAGCATGCACTGCCTGCAGATTATGCTGCACAAATCAGGAGACCATCTCTGCACTCTCAGCTATAGCAGGTCTGTCAAGTCTTTCTGGGACTTCTGATGCTGAACACAATTTAGGCATTTAGTGTGACTGGCTTGAGAGTCAAGGGAGCCCAAAGGTCTGCAATGTGTCAAATTTTAACAACTTTTGAATGTGTGTGAGTTACTAACAGATACACAGACATGTAAGAAACACATCTGAATGAGGCAAAAGGTTGGTGCTGGTGAGAGGATGGCATGAATGTTCCATTTAATATGGGGAGAAAAAAAAAGGAAATATATTTCCAAGTACTTACCTGGTCTTTAAAGTACATTTAACTTGCTTTCATAATGAGAAATTATTGTTTCTGGCATAGTTTCATAGCTGTTTATTTGTTTATCTCTTCCTAACCACTGCATACATTTAACATTAAATATGTGAGGTAATGCATTTTGTGTTACACAGTGAAAGGGTGTTACAAGGAAGTTTCTGCTCTCCCAGAACACATTACATGTTGTTTACACTTGTATCCCTCCACAGAGGGGCAAGAGCATGTGGAACATTTTGTTTTCATAGTGTGAGGGTTAATTACTGAGAAACAAATGGGTACTCTTAAAAACAGACATTTGGATTGAAGGAGGCAAGGTGAAATGAGTGCTTTGTAGCTGGGATAGGATGATGGGTGAACTTTGTTGTTGTCTTTGGAAAACTTCATTCTGCTGCTAGCAATCAAGTCTCTGTGAGTTGTCTCCTGAAAAGAGTACCTTGCCTCCATAGCCAGGAGTGCTGTTCTTGTCAACAACAGTTATTATCTTGGAACTGTATTTGTCCTGGAAATTATGTTCTCTGAAGATAAGACTGAGATATTGAATTTAATTTAAATTCTATGGAAAGCCAAAGAGATTGGTTTGATATACCTACAAATACCTTGTGTTTCTAAGCTGTGCTGCAGCATTATGTACTTCTCAAAACTCCCTGAATGGGGAAGACATATTGTCCATATATACAGTACTGCTGTAATCAGCTGAGGAATGACAACCTGTGAATAAATAAGGTCTGATTGTTGGTGAGCAGCAGCAGCTTAGTTTCTCACAAAACTGGAATTTCTAGACAGTGTTGCAGTGTGAGAATGCAGTGCCATTGAGAAAGCCAAGAACACTCCTGAAGTGCAGTCTAAAATAGACCCTTGCATGTTTGTAATTCAACAACATGTAATTCAAAACAATAGATTCAGCAAATATGTGTTTCAAAATTATTTTGTCTTTCATCAAAACTGGCTGTTTCACTCAGCTGGTTTTCATTGGGAAGCTTGTGGTTATCAAGTTATAAACAATAATGCATTGTTGGTTATTGATGAGTCTTGCAGGTCAGCCAAGCA